TTACTTAGGCTTTTATTCCTATGATACCCCATAAACACTGTTCGCTTGTAGCGTTTGAAATGCAAGAATAATGCAGATATGGAAATGTTTTCGTGCCTTTCCTCAATGATCGAAAATGTATTACTTCCAAAAACAAATAAAACCTTAATAAATATATATACATATTTATATATAACACAGCATATTTGTCATTCATGAGTAATATAGTTCTTTCTCAAAGCTTTTAAATGATGAAATTGTTTACAATAGGTGACTCATAACTAAAGGGAAATCCAGTCGCAATGTTGTTGCACTCAAATCCCGCGCAGGTTCTTCAACTATAAGAACTAGTTATAGAAGGCCGCTGACATTTCATGCAGACATAGACGTAGACCATAGACAAAAACCCCATAGAGTATGGACTTGATGCAACGTCAAGTACGAGTTGTGTAAAAACATATTTTAGTAACGGCAAAGAACGATATAGTTAGCAGGTACATACAAAATGTATGCTTATTATGAGTTTTTTCTGTCTCCAAATCACTTAACAGATTTTACGATTTATTAGAAGTAGCAGATATATTTTTTGTGTCATCTCAAAAAGGAATGGACGTTAGCGTACTATTCCCTGAAAGGTCGGCAATCCACCCCGTTGTTGCAGGTGTCAATGTGCGGCGGTTATCACTTTAATCAAATAGTTTGCTTCCTGTCACATAAAATTATCACCTTATCCCGTCCGTGGTCACGGCGAAACATTATTTTTTATATTTAGGAAATAAATATATACTCGTATATATGTTATTTAGATATAATGTATGATGGTGAAAGAAGTGCATTTATTACTTTTTGAATGCTTTACTGTAAACGAATACAAATATTTTCTCATTGTAATATTAGTACAACAAACTTTCTGAAGATAAACCATTGAGAATATCCAATCTTCATCAATAAAATAAGAAATACACCTCTAGAGACAGTCCGGTATTTTATAACTTCATCTATCAGTATTGTACTTTTGCGATGTTCTATTCGTTATTATTTGCCTTTGTTCTGTATTTTCTGATTCCGAATATTGAGGTACAACGCTTTGGTAATATTCATTGTTAAAACTTTCCTTTATTCTGACTGAAAGCAGGGATTTTTTGTCTATTAATTTTATAAATTGGTTTAGATTTTGTGTAGTACCAGTTGTTTGAAGTGTTGACATAACGCGGTCGACGTAAAATTCCACAATCTTTGTTTTTTTAGGACCGTGTTGCGCCATATCATAAATTTTTATGAAATTACCAATGGCGGAAAAACGTGGGATAAATATAGAATTAGATGTTTAAGCGAAATAAAGAGTATTATTTCTAATATATAAAATTCTCGTGTCACAATGTTCGTTTCCATACTCCTCCGAAACGGCTCGGCCGATTTTTATGATTTTTTTATGCAGTAAGTAAGTCTAAGAATTGGCTACTATCTATATTTCAACCCCCTAAGTGTTAACGGGTGTCCATCCCAAAAAAAATTTTTTTATTTTTTTATGATACAGCATACAAAAATACATACAACCCCTAATTTTCACCCCTGTACGATAAACCCCTATTTTTAGGTTCTTCAACTACAAGAAATTCTTATATATATATAGCTATATATAGCCTTGTCGCCAGCCTTCTGTAACTAGTTCTTATAGTTGAAGAACCTGCGCGGGATTTGAGTGCAACAACATTGCGACTGGATTTCCCTTTTTGCTATGAGTCATCTATTGTAAACAATTTCATAATTCAAAACCTTTGAGAAAGAACTATATTACTCATGAATGACAAATATGAATTGTTTACTTAGGATTTATTTGTTTTTGGTTCTAGTAACAATTGTAAATAAAGAACTTCTGTTGGACAACTTACATTTAGCACAAACATTATTTCGTCTTAAACAAAAATTACAAAAAGAAAATAAGAAGGCTTTCCTTTCACACTTATCAAAATCAAAATCATATATTCATTTAGGTTACACAATGTACACTTATGAACGTCAATAAATAAATACTTATTAAATGCTTCTAATTTTAAATTTACTGCCAGTTCTCAAATCAAGGTCGTAGAACGGACGAGAAGAACTGGCAATAAACTCTCCGCCACTCTTTTTAATCGCCAAGTTTTTCGTTTTACAAAATGTTTGTAAGGAGCTGAAACCATTACACCACCAACTGTTCCACATGACATCTTAAGTAATTAATTATAAAAAAATAAATAAAACAAAGATTTGTCCTCTATCAGCAGTAGGCATGGTGAAATAGGAGCACGAGTAAAGGAACGGCAACGGACTTTTGGTTTAAAAATAATTTATTTAAATCAACAGAGTGACAGCACTTAATTAAGAGCTAAACAATAATCAAATTAATATCTATTTATTCATGAATTTATACATTCAGATTCACTTACTAAGTATTAGTTGTTGCTGACGCACGACCTACATTTGGTTTAGTGCTAGCAAAGCATATATCAATAGGGTTGGTAGTTGGTACTCTTAACTCACGCACTTACATTCTCGTGGGAACAACACGCAAACACATAGTCGAAATAACTAACTAAAAACTGTGTTGCGGGACAAAGGCCTGTACCCAACAAACCACCAAAAATATTGTTTTAACAATACAAAAAATCAAGGCAACAATAGTTAACTAAATCATAAATGCCTGCTTCTCACTGGCCAAACCCTAAAAAAATAATAGCCTCCCAGAGGAAAATATACACTTGGAATCGAGAGGACAGTTGTTTTCACTATAGCTAATTTAATTTACTAGATTGTTGCCAAATAAGTATCTTTTACCTAATGCTGTTTTTTAGAACCGTATAAGGTAAAATAACTTAGTTAAGAAAAAAGCGTGTACACGTACGTTTCCTAGTCTCGACTTAGAATTCAGTATTATATATTTTATAAGCAGCTGTCGCACAGGTAGAGAATTTGGGTCTCGCGATAAAGGCCCTTGTGAGGGATAGGGCTTTGAATTTAGGACTTATAGCAAACATTTTATCTCATGTTATTAGCATATAACTTTCAATGAAATTATTCAGCAAAAAAATCCTTTTTATGTGAACGCGTTCAACCCAAATTAGATTTTTAAATGAAAATATTTTTTCCTGTTTACATCATTCATTAATTCTCGCTCCTACTGTTCGTAGTAAAATCGGTTCAGTAGTAGAGTTTATCCATTACAAACAAATAAATCTTCTTTATATTCGTTTGTATTACGATGAGCCCGTAGTAATTTTCCTAAGAACACAACGGAAGTAATACATTTTCGATCATTGAGGAAAGGCACGAACACATTTCCATATCTGCATTATTCTTACATTTCAAACGCTACTTATAAAGTGCAGTGAATGTCTGTAAAATAACTATGAATTTCAGCTTTATTGCACGGATATACGAGTTATTTTAGCTTAAATGCCCAACAATATTCAGAGAAAGTCACGTACTCAAGAATCCTTCGCTAAGAAAGGAAGGCCATCTTTGAAGGATTGTTTCATAAAATATACAAGTAATGTTTCAAACATTCGAACAGCGCAGCTATTGGGAAAATTAACGTTTTTCTTTTGTTTAAAAAAAATATTATTAATTAAAATTTAAATCCTGAAAATTCCCTCGTCACGAAAACTTTGCGTCTAATTTATATTTTTATGATGATATGTTTTATTGATCTTATTACACCAAATAACTAAGGTGAATATCCCGAGAAAACCAACAAATCTTAATGGAAGCTAAGTATGATTCCCGTTGCTGTAATCTGACGCCAAAACCATAGGTTGTAACGTTATTTGTTTTAACCGAGTTAAAAAAACTAAAGGAAGTTGTCTATATGTGATTATTTAAGTTTATTTATTAGACACGAAAATAATCAATTTATTATCTACCTAGGACCACGTGTTATATGCGTGAGCATTGTCCGGGAAGACTGTCTCATTTTAAAAAGCACAATATACTTAGCAATAAACTGTGTTAGAAGTTAGACACCGGAAATGTACTTGAAAGAAGAAGTGAAATGTATTAGAACTTTTCGTAATATTTATGACCTGATGCGTGATATGTCAGTAACCTTCTACTCGGTCAAGGCTATCTGGTTTAAGTCTACTTTCTGGGTCACAGTCAAGATGAGATTAGACTTACGGATTGCTATATATTCGCTTAAAGGTACTTTCGTGTTGACTCAACTTATATTTTCGGAATGTTGAATGACTTTTCAATAATTTTGCAGTCACGTAAAATTTAATTATTTTTGTTAAGTCAATACGAAAATATTTTACATGAAGTTATGAATTTACTGCCATCTACACAGTATAAGGGGAACTATTTAAAGTTTGGTATCCTATAAGCATCAAACAGTTTTTTCTACTACTATAGATGGCGCTGCAACCAACAAATTTGGAGAATGATATTGACAATAATTTATACCTTATAATAATAATAATTTATTTTCTCCCATATAACATTTACAACAAACAATAAGATTACAGTTAAGAAGTTATTGGGCGACTGGTTTCCAACCTAGGTAAGAACCTGTGATATGGATAACCAGGCATCCATCCATTCTACAGCAAAGTCATATTATAACTGTTTATATTGTTTTATTTTATTGTCACATTTAATTTAGGCTTCAAATGCAGGTTATATTTTTTTTTTTTTAAAGACAATTCACACCAATTGACCTAGTCCCATGCTAAGCTGGTGAAGCTTGTGTTATGGGTACTAGGCAACGGATATACATACATATTATAGATAGATAGACAAATAAATACATATTTAAACACCCAAGACCTAAGCACAACACCAAATGCCCATCACATCGATGTTCGTCTCAGCCGGGGCTCGAACCCGGGACCCATGGATTCGCAGTCAGGGGTACTAACCACTAGACCAATGAGTCGTCGTATATATCACGATACCGACCCAAGTATTATATTAAACGAAATATATAAATAAGATTTTTATGTTACAATAAAGAATGACACAAACGTTCATTAATCAGATATTAACTAACCCAATATAGCTCGAAGGTGTCCCTCCAAAGTTTGGAGGATTGTCATTTTGATCTCCTTCACAGATTTGCCTAGGAACTGTTCGCAGGCAGTAGTTAGAAGCTCGTCTTCGTTCATGATCTTGCATTGGGCGACACCAGTCACCGTCAGTGGCACACCTTGGGCCGTCTCCACGTACTCACACATGGGGTTAAGAGTCATAACCTGGAAAAACATATCATACAATCAATCTGGAAATACTTCTGAAATAAATGGGTTTTTTACTGATTTGCTAGCTTAGTTCACGGCAACGAATTGAGCCAATAAATGCAATTATTGCTTTGTCAGGAATCGAATCTAAGATCTCCTGGATGTGTCCTATATTAAATTGGAAAACTTTATAATCTAATAAATACTATAAATACGAAGTTTTAATATCAATAAAAGCATAGCTCTCGTCTTTCCAAAATAAAATCTATCTAATTATGCCATTACCATATCACTTGCACTCCGCTACAATTGAGATGTTTTATAAGTCTTGCAATAGAAAATGAAAACAGCAACGCAGCAACCTTTAAGTCTCGGCCACGTCTCTATTTCTGTTTCAAGATAGTTTTTCTTAATAAATAAGTAGGTGACCAGCCTTCTGTGCCTAACAAGCGTTCCTTGGTACATTGTATTCGAAAGCCTCTTAGGGCGCGTGTCGACGAGCACGGTTTCTACCTGGTATCAAATAGATGTTTTATGAATGTTATTCAATATCTATATTGAAATGATTTTAATTACTTAAATAGTTCAATTTTAGAGTATGATATCAAGGTTATAAGTTATCATTAGTTAATTTATAAAAATTGAAATTTTATTTTTATATTGAGTCTACGAACCGGGTTTAAAGTTGAAACCGCCCTCCGCCCAAACATTATATGTAATTTTAATGAATTATTATCTACCTCAAGGGATATACGTTGTACGTCTGTGACGAAACACCACGCCCATGCCCAGCCACCGACGATCGTTCGCTTTTTAGTTGAACCGAAACAGCCACCTGGAAATAGTTTGAATATAATTAATAAAACACATTTAAATATATTTTTTAATCATTAAAAGCTTTACTTATGTATACAATTCACATAGCCCTATAATATTATATTTAATATTAGATAATGAGTGTTTAATAGTATCAGACGTTGAGGTGAAAGTAATGATTATATGTTGTATATGTATAGATTTTGGCAAGTTGAAGCGTTGCAGTTATTTACGTTTAGGTACGTAGCCCATTATAATTTATACAGGTGACAGATGGTCTAAAATAGTAACCGATTGGACTGGTCCAAAAGGAAAAAGGAACAAGGGCAGACCAATAGATCGATGAAAAAATTTGATGACGATGGCAAAAATATAATCGTATGGAAAAAGTTGGGGCCGCATGTTATAGTAAAAATTTTATTTAAATATATTTTTGATAATGAATAAAAGCTCTTTATTATTATTATTATGAATACAATTCGACATCAATATATGACATGTTAGAGAGAAATAATTTGTTGAAGTCCAATCATTACGGGACATTCCTTTTTCCTTAATGCAGACACATTTCTGTCTATTTTGTTTAAGACACGAAGGAAAATTTTTAAAATTGAGGCTACAAATCAATTATTCGCTCCGATACATTGAGAAAACACAAAAATTCTAAATCTTTATGTTGCCCCTTCACTATGCTGTGATGAGGAACACCGTTGATAGTTTGTGTAGAACGGAAGGTGCTTTCTCTTCTAAAGGAAGGATCCTTGACGAATACAACCAGCTGACTGGAACTGTAGACCCCAGTGGCTAAGGTGTATATGTAACGGGTGTTTTTTTTGGATTGATGGATGGATTATTGGACTGACATAATTTTTTTTTAATTTGAAAGATAATCTTGTGGCATTAGATTTTAAATATGATTTCTGGCATATGACTGCCACGGCTGGCTCGGATATAGTCCAATCTGGACGTCCAATTTTTGATGACTTTTTCCAACATTTGTGGCCGTATATCGGCAATAACACGGCGAATGTTGTCTTCCAAATGGTCAAGCGTTTCTGGCTTATCCGCATAGACCAATGACTTTACATAGCCCCACAGAAAATAATCTAGCGGTGTTAAATCACAAGATCTTGGAGGCCAATTCACAGGTCCAAAACGTGAAATTAGGCGGTCACCAAACGTGTCTTTCAATAAATCGATTGTGGCACGAGCTGTGTGACATGTTGCGCCGTCTTGTTGAGACCACAGCTCTTGGACATCATGATTGTTCAATTCAGGAATGAAAAAGTTAGTAATCATGTCTCTATACCGATCACCATTGACTGTAACGTTCTGGCCATTATCGTTTTTGAAGAAGTATGGACCTATGCTGCCACCAGCCCATAAAGCGCACCAAACAGTCAGTTTTTCTGGATGTAACGGTGTTTCGACATACACTTGAGGATTAGCTTCACTCCAAATGCGGCAGTTTTGTTTGTTGACGTAGCCATTCAACCAGAAGTGCGCTTCATCGCTAAACAAAATTCGCTTATGAAAATCGGGAACAACGGCAATCTTGTTTTGGACCTATTCGACGAATCTACGCCTTGCTTGATGATCGTTTGGCTTCAATTTTAAATTAACTGCTCTGATGGACGATTTTGTCGACGATAAAATGGACGTAGTGCGCGATACGTATTCCGCACAGAACCATTATTTTCGAAATAAAATTGCACAATTTGCAAGCGTTGTTCAGGCGTGAGTCTATTCATGATGAATTGCCAAACCAAACAGAGAATAAATCATTTGACAGCTGTTAAATCGGTCGCCATCTTGAAAAGTAATGCCAACTTAAAGTTCTATACCTCTAAAAAAACACTCTATATATACAATATATCCTTAGCGGTCGGAACGACTTTGTCAGCGCTTTTCATGTTATGACATCATCACAGTGACTGTAACCGTAGATTGTAGATGTCGCTACAGTTTACTCTTTGATATACATATATATAATTTTGATATACGGAACATAACAAAATCAGCAAGTATATAAATTTCCTAGGAAATTTATAAACCTTCGAAGGATACTAAACGAGAGATAAATTGTATTACGCCCACATTTTCGCAAATTGATAAACTTACCGAACTCACGCGTAAAATTATAAGTAAGCGATAACCAAACGACATGTGCGCTCTGATTGGTTGAATAAGTCACTAAGCTAACCTAACCGTTTAGAATGTTACGAATGTACCTTTATCCGTTAGATTATAAATTTACCCCGAGTCGTCGCAAATCGTTAAATTATATCGCAATTATAACATCTCGACGAAAACAGTGCCTTACAAAGACAAGACGATTGTGTCTGGATGCCTTGCCTATTAGGAAAATATCACGAAACATACAGAAATCAGTGCCGGATAAAGCCAGCGCGGGGCGTGTAGCAAATTCTGCCTAGGGGCCCTTGGTTAGGCTTTAGGATTTAAATAGTTCGCCTGTTTCGTCTAAATACTTATAATCGTTATTATATTAAAATCGATTAGAAAAGTACAATCTCGGCTACGTAAACTCGCAAAATAAATGTATACCTATATAAAAATAAAAATCTGAAGGGTACAAAACATGCTAGTCTAAATATGTATATCGATTTTAATTAAAATTTGAAAATTAACGTTAAAATGATAAATACGTACTTATTTTTACGATTATACTTGACGAAGTCGAGTTTATTTTTATGTGGAAGTGAAGCATAGACTAAGCGCTTCGCGTTAAAGGTATGCAAGATATTTTACGCTACTATCTAAATTAATACTTTTTTTTTATTACGGTCAGACAGGCGTTGGAGCGCGGGGCCCGTAGCATTTGCTACTCTTGCTATGTGGCTAATCCGGCACTGACAGAAATTCTGAGATATAGACCAAAAATTATAGCTGGTTTATTCCCTACCCTTACAGACACTAACATGCTTATCAGGCATTAAAGTAAACCATGTAGGTTCCAAACAGGTAGCAACAAACAATATTTTAAGAGTTTTCCAATAAACTTATATATCTTTAGTTTAGTTATTTGAAGCGGTCTAAGGTAAGAATGGCAATAAGGAAATAAGTTAAAGGAATCATTAACTTTCGAGACACCTCTAAAAACATTTAGATAGCAATTCAATATAATTTTAATGTTTATCGCGAATTTAATACATTTTAGTAAGCTGTAGGTACATATTGCTGCTATTTCACCATGCCTCCTGCTGATAGAGGACAAATGTTTGTTTTTAATTTATTTTATTATTATTTATTACTTAAGATGTCATGTGGAACATGGTGTAATGGTTGCAGCTCCTTACAAACGTTGTGTAAAACAAAAAACTTGGCGATTAAAAAAAGTGGCGGAGAGTTTATTGCCAGTTCTTCTCTTCTGTTCTACGCCCATGATTTGAGAACTGGCAGGAAATGTAAAATTAGAAGCATTTAATGTATATTTCTTTTTTTGTCGTTCCTAAGTGTACATTGAGTTACCTATATGAATAAATGATTCTTGACTTTGACTTTGACTATTTTCCGCATTAATTACTTCAATAACTAAATAAATACTACCTAACATATTGGTAAGCGCGTATTTATATAGCCATTAAAAATAAATCACTACATATAGGTACATATATAATAACTTTTTATGTCTCAGGTTTCAGGTTTCGTGATCATTTGTTTTTCCTAATATACAAGTAGGTCATCACTGATAAGCCTTCTGTGCCTGGATCTTGTGACTTTTTGGATCTAATGCCGGTTTCCTCATGGTATTTACTTTATCGTACGAGCGAGTGTTAAATGCGCACATAGAACATTGGTGCACAGCCCGGTTCGAACCTCCGACCTCACGAGTCGCACGCTCAAGCGTTTTTTAATAAGGTTATATTTATGTTAATATTTTTTTAATTGCCAGTCATTTACTTCTAATTTATTTACTAGATTAAACAAATGAATCGACACAATGGGTTGCGTCCGTAAGGAGGTTTTAATAAAAAACTTATTTAATAATACGCTTTCAATTTTCGGCAGAGTCTATGGTAGTGGCCAGTGTTTATTGTCAAATGAAAACACTCTCCCTCCCTTTCACTGTCGACTAACGCGCATTCAGGAACACAGTGTGAACGTGCAAGTTGCTTTTTAATAGAACCGAATAGAAAAATAAATGCGGACTATACAGTTAGTGATGTTTTTGATGTTTTGTGAATGTGTAATTAATTAAAGGTGAGTTAATATTTTAAAAATTTAGTAATTTTTATCCACATATAATATTAAAAAAGCATTGGTTTTTCCTATTATTTTGTTTTTTTTATTAAGACCTGAATGCAACACACTCACATTTCATTATAAACAATAAAATATAGATTCCCAACCATATCTATATAAAATTAATCTAGTAAATATTATTAGAAGTATATTTATTGCTTTATTACCCAACTTTTTCGGAGTGTTTCCAAAAATAGATTTAATTTTAAATATTTAATATGGTTTTGCGATTCAGAAATAGCTTCATTATTAGCTCATTCAGCTTCTTGATATAAATGGTAGGTCATTGACTGGTGTTAACAGGTTTGAGGTCTTAAAAGTTATGGCAATGAAAGTGCACTTAGTACGTAAAAAAATTTAATAAATAATTCGTTTAACTCAGCTGTGCGATGTCGTCCATTTTTCTTAATGTATCCTACTATTGATTGTTCATTGACGTTTCTTTATAAATAAAAATGAATCGCGAAATATGTTAAGCGCAAAACGCACGAACACGGCTGCGCCAATTCGAGTATTTTTTTCTTTATTTATTCACTTTAAAATTAGAATATATAAAAAAATAAAAATGTATCATATTTAGTACTTAGGTTTTAATTACGGCGATTTTCGATATATTAGTATATGTAAATACTAAAAAGGTAGGCTTAGTAAAAAAGTTATATTAAGAAACGAAGTTCCCGAAGGCAGCTAATAATGAAATATAATTATGACGATGTCAATTGACTGAGGAATAATAATTGGAACTTAAGAGCTCTGATCTCTCTGGATTTAATAGATAAATTAGTAAAATGGACATACTCATCGGTCCTGAAAAACAGAAATTCGAAATTCGAGGACTAGATTTTTTTATAGAAAACCTTACAGCAGGATCCAGTCGTTTTAGCCTGCTTATTTTAGTCATTATAGCCCTATAATTATCAATATAATTTAGGATCTGAATATAAACAAGAATAAACATTTTATTTGAAGAATTTAAAGTTGTTATTAAAATTCCATCAGTAATTAATGTTAGGTTTTATTTAATAAACTTTGAATCACAGATAACACTAATTATTTTTAGCTTTTCACTAAATTCTCTTCAATTTTATCGTTCTTTGAAAAATTAGTTACAATATATCGCTTTAGGTACACTAATTTTTTTTAAATATTTAAAATATTGGTTTTTGAGACTGTGAAGAAAAGTCAATGAATTTGAGACAAAAGATATGTGTAATATAATATTTTAATTAAAAAATATAACTGTATAAAGATTCTTCTTCTACACTAGTTCCAGCTCAAAGCTGTGAAAGCGTAATAAACGATATCATTTAGTTCGGTCATTAGATGTTTTGGGTAAAAGTGGAAAAATGACAACTTAACGGCATTTCTCTGACTATTATCATTGGAGCATATCGAAGAATGCGTAAACGAATATCTATGTTCTACCCATGTACTATATTCTTTGACCCGATCTTGATTTTTGTAAACATCTCCGTGAATGTATTTCAAATAATTTATGGAAAATTTGGCTATTTTATGTATTAAATTTGGACAAATTTTTTAAAATCATTTCACATTTCTATAGAACCTACATAAATTGTGGTGTTTAATTCAAGAACACGCCAAAACACTTTTCTAGACAAGATGGCGTCGCACTAGTCTCTGTAATATACCACGTGTATAAACACGTAAACAAACTTTAGGTTTTTTACGTGTTAACGTCAACATATTATATTTTGATCAAAAACACTCTCCGATGTAAATAAACTCCAAGATAGTATTAGGGTTAAAAAGGCGAGAACATTATTTATAAGCATGCTACGTCATAGTCGATTTGACTAATCTGTGACCGTTTTGTGTCACGTGACTCACGTATTCGTTACGTTTAAATATGTTTTTTTTCTTAAATTAATGATTATTTAGTAATTTTACTTTATGAAGCCATATTTTGATTCCGGATAACTCTCAATAACACTTTTTTATACTTTTAAATAACCTCTTTCGATCTAAATGCCTATAATAGGCTATATGGCAACGATTATGTTAGAGTCATAAATAGGAACGTGACTTAGCGTAAAGGGTGACTTTCGTACGTCAAAAACGTGTTGGGTTTTGACATAGTCATAGTTCATTAGTGAATCATTCCCTTAATTACTAACAAAATTTTGTTGTTTGTATAAATCTTTACCTAACGTAAATAGTTGTAATAAGATTAACTGAAAAGTCTGCAACAATATTCATTCTTAATTTTTATTCTCTATAAAAAACATTTAATTAATTAAAAAAACAATTTTAACTATAAGTAATCTGTATAGAAGTTAATTTTCTTTGATTTGACACTTTGACAGTTCTTGTACCGTCTGTTTAATGTATGTTAAAATTCGGTCACTCTTCAACTAAATTCCTAGATTATGACAGCTATGACATTTGGAAAGTGGAACGGAAATCCGTGAAAATTGGTGAAATATAAGAAAATATTCGTAACGAAAAACAATACAATGATTGATTAGTAAACGTAGTATCTGGTGTTAATTAGATCAGTCTTTCAAGCAATATTGGTTGTTTTTTTGTACCACAAATTTAGACTTTAAACTAAACTGAAATAAAAATAAAAAAATCAATAAAAAGTAAAAGCTAATTCGCGAAAATGAGTTATAATTAATACAAGTAAGCTACTTAATTACGAGGCAGAAGAGAAATTCTCAAAAAAGAAGATTTTTAAATAAATTTAAAGACAGCTCGTCTGATATCAAGACCTCCAAACTACTACTTTGCAGAGTAAAGGAGAAATTTTGTTAAAAAAAGTTCGAACTGTATCTGTGTGTGTTTTTTTGGCAGGCTGAAGTGTTAATTGCCGATATTCATAGCGACAAATTCCCCGGAGTATTAATCACAGCTATAGAAAGTGAATCTACCTCGTCCATTGGACCGGAGAATGACTCCGGCGCGTACGCAGAATACTAACAGTTTCCGGTGTCGGGTGAAAATTGTGTTATATAATTAGTTACATTAATTTACAAGTCAACCTTAATTATGGAATGATCGACGTCATTATTAACATTTATCGAAATCCGTTCAGCCGTTAAAGTGTCAATCGTAAGTTATCTACAATCATAGTGCCTAACTTCGACTCAAAATACAAAATATAAGTAACCTTTATATAAATTTGATTGGTACATTTTATGCAGACGCAATTCGAAATTCCTGTGTTATGTGTATTAAAAGCTAGTAACAATGCAATTTTCGAAAAAAAATTACAATATTTTTTAAATTGACACAAACAAAACCAAGAAAATAAAAAACCGTTCATATTGATATGAATATAACACAGTTTAATATTACTTACGTAAAACCAATAACTCTCATTTCAACGAATTCCATTTTTAAAATTTTGGATTTCGAATCTTCTAGAACGCACGCGGTTTTGATCACGTACTCACCGATACCACTGTATACCGTTATGTCTTTCGTGTTGCTTTAACGGTCACCTCATTTGTATGACCTGCATTTTACATCCTTTTAGTTTACCCCGATCGTCTTTTGTTTATTATGTATGCGGTTTGAAAATAGAATATTGTGTTAAATTCAAGTGACACAAAGTGATCTTTTAAAATTAAAAAAATATTTGTATGAAGTATAATATAATAGTTTTGTATTTATATTTATAGTAATATTTTTAGAGGGGGCCTCATAGCCTAGCGGTCTTATTCGGTTCGAGGGCAAGTTTTAATTTAATTTAAAATTTGTTCTCGGCCTTTGGGAGGGTTGTGAGGTACCGGGCGAGTGCTTAAACCGTACATGGAGGACACGGTCGAATTTCTAAAGACAAAGCACGAATTATAAAAAAAAATATACTTGACGCTGGCTAATGCACAAATCGTGCCAGAGCCATTAAAAAAATATATTTTTAGAGTAGTTTTGTTGGTCATAAATCAATAGAGATTAAGTTTGTTACTTTTCTTAGAAACATGCAACTGAACAAATTTCGAATTTCCCCAGTAGAAATAGAAATGATTCCTATATGGCATTATGGCTAATATTTTTTGTGTAGTCACACTTAGAAAATTTACAATTTTGATCAATATTCTTGACAAAAATAACACTGGCATTCATTAATAATTTCCACTAACTTGACCGTAAAGGTTTGCTATCACACAATTCAAATATGTACTTAAAATAATATATAATTATGTGATTTCAGTCAAAATGAGCTCCATAGTGAATGTAGCTGCCGACGTAATATCTGGGACAGCTATTGCAGCCGCAGGTACGCAGGTAATCCTTCTATACTTCCTAATATAATCTATCAACTAGGATTGGATATGGAAATATTTGCGTATAGATACTGGCGCTTCAACTCTATTAAGCACGCTGGAGTTCCCAGGTACCGCGCTGCACGATTTGGTTCGTCGTTTCTTGTAAAAAGAGGAGTGGATCTCCTTCCCTAGACAGTATAATATGGGTTCATTTAAGCGGCGGTTTAATAGGCATCTCTTGGACATGCGAGGCCACCAATAGGCCACATCTCACTTAACATCAGGTAGGATTATGGCCAAAAGTCTGTTCAGTTCTGTATTCAAAAATTAGTCTTGGCTACCGATTATCAGGATATTTATAGTTTTTTCAAAGATTTCTGTGCTTTTTCGGGAATCGAACGGACCACCTAGATGACACAGATTTTATCCTATTACATGCATTACCATTTTCAAACAACTTGATAATTCTCATAATACTAGTAAAGAGGCGTTAGTTACGATAACATACGATTTCGATGTGCAAATAGCGATAGTATAATCAGTCAAAATCTGTTATAACGACATCGAAGGGACTTCTTATATTTGGTCGTAAAAACCGATAGTCGTAACAGCCCATGACGTTATTAGTACTACCCTAATACATAGAATTCAGCCGGGAGCTTTGATTTTGGTCAATATACCCGGTATATTGTTCGGTTGATTTTAGTTTGTTAATCTTTCACTTTCGTCGTCTTACATATCAAATTAAATCCCCTTTAAACATTGTTAACTTTATAAATTTTAGCGCCTTTGAAACGTAAGACGCAACACACTCTAACAAACATTTGAATAACACAAATGAAATATTTTTTACATATTAAAGAATTATTTACGTGTCAAAAAATATATAAAAATATCCCGTAAATGTATAAATAAAGCGTTTATATAAATTCCAGGTAGCATGGTTCATACCAATGTTAGTGGCTGCAATAGCCTACTACCAATACGACCAGACTGACCCTGAGGGAAGACCAGCTGATGTTGATGAAGCAACACTGTTACCATACTACGATTTCATAGTAGTCGGCGCTGGTTCTGCCGGTCAGTGAGTACTTTGTTTTTATAATGTTGGTATCTTAAAGTAAAATATTAATATTCTAATTTCAAAACTGTCCTGAAGGTAGCAGTTGTACAAAGTTCCAATGTAGCATTTGTTAACTTTCGTAGGCGCTGATCAGTTTTTTGTGACTTCAAAATCAGAACAAATATTTCCAATCGAACCCAAAGCCACACTCTCAAATCACTAAGGCTTGTATCAACATTTCTAGTTATTACTTAAGAAACAATTGAATATGAAACTTAGAAGTGTCTATAATTAGGTATATGATAAATAGTAGTACTTTAACTCTAGTTTTACCTTAAGACTAACAATATAGGTAGGTTTTCTATGTAATAGAGGCAAACGGGCAGTAGGCTCACCTGAAGTAAAGTGTACCCGCCGCCGATGGACACTCACATTGCCAGAAGGCTCGCAAATGCGTTGCCGGCCTTTCAAGAATCGGTACGCTCTTGAAAGAACTTAAGTCAAAGTGGTTCGGAAATACTTCAGTGGGCAGCTGGTTCGAGCACAGCTTTGTATGCTATTTCGCTATAATATGCTATTATGCTATTTTCATATGGAGCTTTCGAATTTTACAATTGTATGGTACGCTGTCGTAAAATATAATTAACGATAGGATACAATCATTGAATACAAATATTCACATCAATTTCATATATCCTAGTCCTTGAAATAAACATATACGTATTTTACCGAAAAATATTAATTTACAGGATCAGTGGTAGCCAGTCGACTCTCAGAGATACATAACTGGAGAGTGTTATTACTAGAAGCAGGAGGAGATGAGACTGAGATATCTGATGTGCCTTTACTGGCGGGGTATCTGCAATTGAGTAAACTTGACTGGAAATACAAGACAGAACCGCAGGGCACCACTTGTTTAGGTATGTTTCAAATATACTTGTTGAAGAGGCATTCTGAGAAACATAAGCTCGGCACAATTGCAATACTTATGAGTTTGTTGAACTAAAATACAGCGTGTTCTAAGATTTTTAAGTGACTTATTTAATTTCAGCCATGGAAGGTGGTCGATGCAACTGGCCTCGGGGTAAAGTACTAGGCGGCAGCTCTGTATTGAACTACATGTTGTACTTACGCGGAAATAAAAAAGATTACGATACATGGGAGTCTTTGGGGAATAAGGGTTGGGGATACAAAGATGTACTCTACTACTTCAAGAAGTCAGAAGACAATCAGAACCCATCGCTAGCCCAAACGCCATATCACAGCACTGGTGGATACCTAACAGTATCTGAAGCACCATACCACACTCCACTTGTTTCAAGTTTCATTGAAGCTGGCTTGGAAATGGGTTATTTAAATCGCGATATTAACGGCGAAAACCAAACAGGCTTTATGGTTGCGCAAGGGACACTGCGACGAGGGAGTCGCTGTTCCACTTCTAAAGCATTCCTGCGACCAGCCAAGGATCGCTTGAACTTACACATTGCAAAGAATTCCTTCGTAACAAAGGTTTTAATCGATCCAAGAACTAAAACCGCCTTTGGCGTAGAATTTGTCCGGAACAAAATGATTCACCGCATAAGGGCAAGAAAAGAAGTGATACTATCAGGTGGTACTATTAATTCTGCTCAATTACTACTCCTCTCAGGCATAGGTCCCGCAGAAGAACTGGCGAAACATAAAATACCGTTAATACAAAACCTACAAGTTGGGCGGAATTTACAAGATCATATTGGACTTGGGGGTCTAGCATTCACAATTAACAAACAATTATCAATTGTTGAGCATAGGTTACACACAGTTAGTACACTTATGCAATACGCTGTTTTAGGAGAGGGACCCCTAACTATCATGGGCGGAGTTGAGGGATTAGCCTTTGTCAATACAAAGTACGTAAATGCCTCCGATGAATTTCCTGACATAGAATTTCACTTTATATCTGGATCCACAAATTCTGACGGAGGTGGACAGATAAGAAAAATTCACGGTTTGACTGAACAATTTTACAACGCTGTGTATGGTCCAATAAATAACAAGGATGTGTGGAGCATAATACCGATGTTACTACGCCCTAGAAGTAAGGGATTTATTCAATTGCGCAGTGCCAATCCATACGACTATCCTTACATATATCCTAACTACTTAACAGACGAACTGGATGTCAAAACTTTAATCGAGGGTGTAAAGATTGCAGTCGCTGTCTCAAAAACTGAAGCTTTCCGGAGATACGATTCTATGTTGAATCCCTATCCTTTCCCAGCGTGCGTGAGCATACAACGGTATACGGATGCATACTGGGAGTGTATGATACGACAATATACATGTACCATATATCATCCGGTAGGCACGGCAAAAATGGGGCCATATTGGGACCCTGAAGCCGTCGTTGACCCAGAGTTAAAAGTGTATGGAATTAAAAATTTACGAGTTATAGATGGTAGCATAATGCCTAATATAGTGAGCGGAAATACAAATGCTCCGATTATTATGATTGGTGAAAAAGGAAGCGATATGATAAAAGAATTTTGGTTGAAGCGTCGACGTTCTAGGTATTACTTGTGATAAAATAAAAAAGTACAAAGATTAATAGGAATTTGAATGTAAATATTATTATTTGTTACCTTAATTTAAGGCTGATTTAAAATAACACTTTTATATTTATTAATTTTATTTTTTTATTTCTTCAATCCTTGACGTATTTTATTAACAGACAGAGCCTTTGACAAAGCATAACTATTTATTATAATGTCGTAATATACGGGTATAATGTATCCGAAGCTTCATATTGCTGATCCGAAATACTTCGAAATTGCACAGAGTAATTATTCAATGGATTAATATTAATTTCATTGTAATTGAAATAATGTCATTATTCCGTTAATAAAACATTGATCTTTAAAATTTTAATAATAAACGTAAAATCAAACTTATTTTATTTCAAATTCATGTCACTGGGTTTTGAAAGGCTATTTTAAATAAATACGAAAACATATAATAAAAGTAGAAATATTTAGCGTAAATTAGTCTGTGTTTCATGTATTAATTCACAATAAAATTTAAATTGCTTAATCAATCACGCTAATTCAGCTTTCATTCATACTAAAATCATTAGTTGAAATGCTTTAAGCCGTAAAGTATCGCGTAAAATGGAGAGCTCAGGGATTACTTCAATAAGGCCGCTGGTGACAAATACAAGAATAATGTTTGGGCTCCTTCCCGGTCTGGGATCTTTAATAATTCTTCGTATGGCCATTCATCTTTATCGGCCGGAGCTTGAAGATACTGAACACAGAGTACGGGACTATCCTTTTGATCAACTCTACGACTGTTACGATTTTATTATTGTTGGTGGGGGCTCTGCAGGTTCGGTCCTCGCCAATCGTCTGTCAGAAAACCCGGACTGGAATATTTTATTATTAGAAGCTGGTCAGGATGAGAATGTACTTTCCGAAGTGCCAGTGCTCTTTCCTGTTCTACAAACCTCGTCTATAGACTGGAAATTTGTTACTGAACCAAGTAGTGATTATTGCTTAAGCATGATTGGTAATCGATGTAAATGGCCAAGAGGTAAAGTGTTAGGAGGTTCAAGTGCTATAAATGCTATGCTGTATATAAGAGGAAATAGACACGATTATGATAATTGGGCTAAAATGGGCAACACGGGCTGGTCTTATGCTGAAATATTAAAATACTTTTTAAAGGCTGAAGACATGAGAATACCCGAATATCAAAATGACCCATATCATTCCGTTGGAGGACCTCTGACAATAGAGCATTTCAGATTTGAACAGCCAATCACAAAAAAAATTTTAGAAGCTGCTCAACAGCTAGGTTATGGTGTATTGGATGTTAACGGCAAATATCAAACGGGTTTCACAAGATCACATGCAACAGTGAGAGATGGACTTCGCTGCAGTACAGCTAAAGCTTATCTAAGACCAGCATCGAAGCGGCAAAATCTTCATATAAGTGTGCATTCAATAGTTGAAAAGGTACTCATAGACGAAAACAAAAACGCTTATGGTGTAAAATTTACAAAGCACGGCAAGACTCGAATAATAAAGACTTCTAAAGAGGTGATACTTTCGGCTGGCGCAATCCAATCTCCGCAGCTATTAATGCTATCAGGAATTGGTGACGTCAAAGAGTTGAAAGAGGTTGGCATTTTTCCAATAGTGCATTTACCTGGTGTGGGAAAAAACTTACAAGATCATGTAGCTATTGGTGGACATTCCTACCTATTCGACAACCCTCTTATAAACGGATCGGATTATTGTTTTAACCTTAATACAGTATTCTCTATAAGCAGTTTAACTGATTTTGTTTTTCAAAAAGTTGGACCATTATATAGTATGATGGAAGCAGAGGCTATGGCGTTTATAAATACAAAATATCAAGATCCGTTACAGGATTATCCAGATATTCAATTATTTATTGCACCTACTGCTGATAATATGGATGGAGGCTTATTTGGTAAGCGCGCAAATGGTATAACTGACGAAGTTTATGCTGAATTGTATGAAGATATATTATACCAATCATCTTTTTCTATAGTACCTCTTTTGCTAAGGCCTAAAAGTCGAGGATTTATAAAATTAAGAGACTCCAATCCATTTTCCCCACCGCGCATTTATCCTAATTATTACTCTGAACCAGAAGATATTCTCAGAGTGGTAAGTTAATTACTTAGCTCTTGACTTGTTGTAAAAGTTTTAGATACATTAACCTAATTAACGTTCTATCACTTTAGATCGAGGGTGCAAGATTTGTTCAAGAGTTAGTAGAGCAACCAGCGTTACAAGAACTGAATACTAGACCTAATCCAAACCGAAATCCGGGATGTAAGGACTACGAATTGATGTCGGATGAACACCTGGAGTGTCAAGCCAGACATCATAGCCTTACCATCTATCACCCAGTGGGTACCTGCGCCATGGGGCCTATGCACAACTTAGAAGCAGTGGTTGATCCGAGATTACGAGTAAGTATATATTATATTTAATGTTGCTAAGTGTTCACTCAACCTACATACGGTATATCTATCTTTCTCAAGGTACAGTTATGGTGAATTTTATATATCCTGTCATTCTCTATTTATATGCGTCGACATAGAACATTAGATTTACCTGTGTGACGATCGTATTAATTTTTATCTATGTACACTTCAGGTATACGGTATCCAAAGTCTTAGAGTGGTTGACGGAAGTATAATGCCCAACATAGTAAGTGGAAACACTAACGCCCCAATTATCATGATAGCAGAAAAGGCATCGGATATGATAAAAGAAGACTGGGCAGAAGACAAAACAGGCGTACACTGTTCTGTAAGAAATTATAAAAGAGCCGATGATGAACCTCAAACAGAAAGAAATAACAGTGTTGTACATGATTTATTTAACGAGACGGCAAACCTTTTTGATTATTTATCCGACAAAGATCCATTATCTCTCCCCTCAGACAAGCCGGAAGCTTCAACTACAACAGAAAGGAGTTATGATAGACAGATCGCTATATCAAAGAAAAAGACATATACACCCTATTCGACGCTCCAGGATTACGAACCTATGAATCCTCAATATATCTATCCGTATAATTGGTTCAGTCAATATACACCAAATTACCTTTGGCCTAATCATTTGGATTTGGAGCCGAGTTACAGCAATGAAATAAATGCAGTAGGAGATAGTCCAATATCCAATAACCCATTGGAATACATTTCTCAACCTTGTAATAAGATAATAATTAAAAAATCGTACCATTTTAATTATGGTAACCATAGGAAAAATCATTGTAAATTGTGGCTTTATTTTGATGGAATGAATTATAGAGTCCATTTGTAACTGCAAATTTTATCATAAACAATAAACTTTAAAAACTTGTTAAATCAGTCTTTTTATTATATTGGCCACTTTATTATTTTACGCATCGACAATTTGAATAAAGTAAATCACTTTTAAACTGTGATCGGTTCGATTTATAATAAAAAAACACCTATTGTGAACTGAATATAACTTCTATCATCGTGGTATTTTTAATACGAGTAGAAGCCAGGAAAAAAAATATTTTGATAATTATTAATAATTCTTATTTTAGTAACTTTCAACATCAAAAATCAGCCCTAAAGCCGTCCCTTGCGGAGTTTTTCCTACACTTTGTATTATGTTTAAATTTGTTGGGAACATAAATATGAACAAATAAGTAATGTAAAAATATAAAGTTAATAAACATTGAACATTCTGTAATAAATAACTTCATAATCCTTTCAGGTGCATTAAATTACATTATATCAATAATACCATGCTCAATGATGTAAAACACTATCAAGCTATTTAATTACAAGGGTAATAAATATATCGTAAATAGTTGTCATTCATTCAAATCATAAGTCTCATTTAGTTGGCCGCCTGAATATACTACGTACTAAAATAATGGAAGCAAATATTTTAAATACATGCCCCTCGGCTTTTGCTGGTACAAGTGGTGATCTTTTTCTCAGTGCCATAACAACATTGTTAGCTACACACTGTTCAATTTTTGACGACTTTCGCTGGCCAGCAGACCATGCCCAAGAAATTTTTAACAAAAAAGGTAAGATTTCGAACGCAATAACATACTTTTTTTGTTATACTTGGATTTTGATATTCTCGTACAGAGTGATTGATTTAAGAAAGATTATTTACATGCTACAGTCAAACGTACATTCAAAACAGAGTTTCATTTGAAAGGCAGTCGATTCTTGTAAATTAGTTTGTTTTTCATATTCCGCTTTACTTAATTACCATCAACCAACATATATATACATTTTCAGATGTAACGTACGATTTTATCGTGATTGGAGCTGGGTCTGCTGGTTCTTTAGTGGCTGGTCAATTGTCAAAAGCCAATATTGGTTCAGTATTATTAGTAGAAGCTGGCGACGATCCTGGAATTGATAGCGAGGTATTTTAAACATTACATTATTTAATATTTAAGCATTTATGTATTTTTCAAAAATAGTTAAAAGAATTTTATATTTTCTGCTATTTCTAGAATCATTAAGTTACGGACTATTTACTTAAAATAATCCTAATTAAAAAGTTAGGGTTTTAAAAAAACTTACTAAGTGTTAAAAGTAACAATAACGTATCCTTTTCAGATACCCGCTTTTTTATTTCTCAATCAGAATTCAGATATTGATTGGTACTACAAAACGTTATCTAGTAATAATAGTTGTTTGGGTTTTGTTAACGAAAGTTGTATATGGAGTAAAGGGAAGGGTATGGGAGGGTCAAGTTCAATTAACGCCATGATATATGTAAGAGGTCATCCAGAAGACTATGAAGCCTGGGAAGCCACAGGAAATTCTGGCTGGGGATACAAAGATTTGCTAAAATACTTCAAAGCACAAGAGAACCTCTTTAATTTGTCAAACCAATTTAAAGATTACGAAAATCCTTGGTATAATGTAATCGAAAACGCCTGGGCAGAATTAGGTTTTAAATCATATAAATACGAAGGAGATGAGTCTTTAATAGGTACGAGAAAGGCTAAGTTGGTGATAAAAAACGGTAAACGATTGAACACAGCAAAGGTGTTTCTTAATAAATCCGAAAATTTATATATTATGAAAAACACACGTGTTGATAGAATTATAATCGATAAGAGGACTAAAAGAGCAATAGGTATTGAACTTAAACATAAAAATGGTACAAACATGATTATTACTAGCAAAAACGAAATTATCGTTTCAGCTGGATCGGTAGCTACACCCCAAATACTAATGCAATCTGGAGTAGGCCCTAAGGAACATATTGAAAATTTAGGAATAAAAAACATTTTAAACTTGGATGTAGGTAAAAATCTTCAAGATCATATCTTGTTCCCTTTATTTTTAAAAACAAACCTTAATACAGAACTGTCAATGGATGTTATAAATTTGTTGTTACTTCAGTATATGTTAACAAGATCCGGCCCTTTCTCAACTATCGGAATAACAGATTTCACAGGATTTATTAACACACTAAATTCATCTGACTGTCCAGATATTCAATTTCATCACACTTATTTTACGAAGAAAGATGATTTTACACTCAAACCGTATCTTGAAGGTATCGGTTATAAAAGTGAAATCATACACGCAATCATAGAATTAAATAATGAGCATGATTTAATCGGTATATATCCTACATTACTGCATCCTAAATCACAAGGCCAGATATTGCTATCTAAGACAGAGCCAAGAGAACCAATAATTAAGACGAATTATCTTCAACATCCAGATGATATGCTAAGCTTGGTTAAGGCTATAAATTTTGTTCACAAATTAGAGAAAACTAATGTTTTTAAAAATCTAGAAATGGAAATTTTACCGATGAATATACCAGACTGTTCGAAATACGTATTTGATACGGAAGACTATTGGAAATGTTATATACGACATATGGCAACAACAATTTATCATCCCGTAGGAAGTGCCAAGATGGGTCCAAAGGAAGATAAAAGTTGTGTTGTCAATCACAAATTGCTTGTTCATGGTACGAAAAATTTGAGAGTGATTGATGCAAGCATAATGCCCACACTACCAGCCGGTAATACAATGGCACCGACTTTAGTCGTAGCCCAAAAGGGCGTGGACATTATTTTAAACGACTATAAAAACAGAGATGAATTATAGTCAGTCAAATAGTTCCGCGAAATTTGAAACTTAACATGAAAACTGCTTTTTTTAATTAACAGCAAAATTATCTCACCACAATAACGCGTTCATTTATGTGAATTTTCCAATTTACATTCAACCTCCATGCAGGGTGTAAAACCGAAAAGGGAAATGTCGACACATATTATTTTAAGATAAAAGTTTGATCTTAGAAATTTGTAATATCAGTACTATGATAATGCGAACGCGAAAGTTCAAGGTTATTATTTGATTTTAGTATTGTATAATTATTTTATAGACGTCACGTGCTGTCTTCAGATATAAAGATTCATGTACTTACAACAGTTGTATTAATATTTATGGTATCGGAATGTCTTTGGTGGCTTACGGCACAAGTGACCTTGCAAATGTTTCGTTAGACGATACAGTGTTGAAATTTCTTCGCTTTCACATAGGTCCGAGACGATATTAAGAAACTTTTTCGTAGTGATTGACATCCTTTTGTACAGTATATTGCAATATATTGTTTACTATGTATAATGTGTTTGATATGCTGACAATTTTCTACAATTCGCTTACATAGAAGATCTAAACAGGGGTCCTAAATAAAAGCATTCTAAATAAAGTCAGAACGAGTACTCAACAAATAGTTCTTAAGATGTGTTTAGAACACACACGAACGTAAATATAATGTATACGTAGATTTTTTTTACAATCATCTTTGAAACAAGAAATAAACATCTTTCTAATGGTCTTTTAATATCCCTTAAGAACTTTTATTTAATGATTTTAGTGTTAAGTAGAAAACATTTATTCAATGAATTAAATGAAGACAAAAATACATGCATGTTTTTCATTTCCAATTTTGATGCTATAAATTTAGACTAATATCTAATAAGCATATAAATTTATATACCTTTTAAGAATACACAGATACGTTCTATCACGATTTATATAATCTACGTATAAATTGCAAAATCTGATGTCTCTTCCTATACAACCTAGATTTGTGATAAAATGCGCAGAAAAACATGATGCTTTAATTATCTAGAAAGATCCTCTTCTTTCATATTACTTATAAACTGTATTACATAACCTCATGTCATTAAACTACTTTCACTAAAATTACGCGTTAGGTGCAATTTTTAAGAATTAAACTAAGCATGTTAATTATATCACCTGATATTAATAGTTTTCTGTTACAATGAGTGAGAATAAAACATTATTTTATCGCCACATATCGTAAACCTCTGTCGTAATCGGTGATGTAATCGAGGTTCGATTCCTAGCAAAACAATTACGAGTGGCAGACACATAAGGCTACTAACAATATGACACAAACAGTATGTTTAATTATTAAAGGATTATGGACGTATCAGAAACATACTAAATTAGATTAACATTTGTGCATATTGTCAGGAACTTACATTATATTGCACAAGATATATGATTAAAAGGCGCATGTGTGTCATAGACATAGTATCCAAATATAAATGTTTCCAGGTACTTAGTTCCCTATTTTTATCAAGCAATGAATCTATGTTGTGCGTAAATCGTAGCGTTCTGAATGATATCTAAAGTTGTCAAAGACATTTGTTTACTTTCATCACAGTGGTTTTTCTGAAACTGCGCAGTGACTCAACTTGATATTGAATAAAAAGGAAAGGACTGTACGCTACACTTCGCACGTACACTAGTTTGTGGCAATTATCACTTCTTAAATGTATGCCTCCCATATATTTTGATATTATTATAATGTACTATTATTGTAATACTTTATCGGCCGATACTTGTATTGAAACGGGGCTATGAAAAATAAATGAAAAAAAAAAGTAGTACCAAAAGTCGTATTTATTAATGTAAATATTTTCTTAAAACTGTACGGGATTTTTTCGCATAATTAAGTACCACAATGTCTTTGAAGTTTCATATCCAAATGCGCGTGACATTTCAATGATTTATGACTTTTTTTATTAATTAATACTAATCAATTTTGGCGTACGGGATTCTGATTTTGGCACTGTGATTACTGAATCTTAGCCTAAATTAGATAATGATAAAAGAAATGGTCAATCAATAGTCAGAATAGAAAATTTTCTACTTTACTTCAGTCCCTTGTCAGGCTTTATAGTACTTCACATAAACAGGTAGATCTATAATTATCAGTGGTTTTATCTAATTATGTAATAAGGAACTAATGTCTTCAATAGGACTATTAGCTAAGCGAAGCATTAACATTGACCACTGCGGTTTCAACACCCGTCGGGTGGGGTTTCTGCCGCAGAGAGCAGTATTGGATAACAGGTGATTGTGTTGTGTTGTGTGTGTATTACGTGATATACAGGTATGTTTGTGCTTTAAGGGTTGCACTTGTTTTAAACTATTTTATAGATTTAGTTTGGTTCTAATTTTTATATTAATGAAAAATATTTTTTATTAAATAAATTTAAATGAGTTACATTTAATTATATAAATGTTTGAACATTTATAAAAATTATTAAAAACATTTAACTAAGTAATACCTGATTCGGCTATGTTGTGTGATGTATGTGAGGGTTTGTATGTGGGGTGTGCTCATGATGCAGGTTTGCAAGACAAAAGATTTCTGAGATGTTTTTCTCTTAATGAATGTCGGATATTAAAAAAAGTTTTCTTATGCTATTGCGACAACAATGTATGAATTAAGCAAAATCCTCTACTATTCAATAATAACCCATTTTAAATCAGTTTCTGGAAAATGTAATAAAAATCACAAATATTGACTTGAATTCTGATACTTTTGTCGCCATTTCTTAACCGACTTATAGAAGGACCTCGGAAACTAGATCAATGTTATATTATTAAGTAACTTTGAGAAGTAGCAAATATTTCATGTTTATAATTATTTAGCTACTTGCAACACTACATTTTTGGTTTCCGTTTTGTATTACGTTAGTTACGTTTGTTCAAAGTTCTGTTACCCCCGAATTGGGCATGGAGTACACGGCTTTCTTTATCTTTTCCTTGTTAATGTTTTAAGACAACCTGCTTAATAAAACTATGTTCTCAATATCCTGATTTTGATAAAAAGGATTTTCTGTATAATCTATATACATATATAAAAATATTATGTTGGTTTGTGTACGCTTCAGAAACTCAAAAAGTTCCGCACCGATCGAGCTGAATTTTTTTGCATGATATATAATCCGCATCAAAGATTGTTTTTATCTATTTTTTTATCATTTTTTTTCCATAAGTATTGCAAAATTAAACTTATATGTATTGTTTTTTTTTTTTGTTTCTCATTTCTCAACCATTCAATCACAATGTGCCACAGCGAAACGTGGCAGCTTGTTTATTATATATAATATTAACTACGAAAACATGCTTTTAATAGGATGGATGACCTAAATTATTTAAGCCTCAACACAGCCAAGTTGGAAAATGTAATAACTAACAAACTAGCTCAATTATGACAGTAGGTCAACAGTCATCTGTCAGACTCGTGACACAAATTCGTTCATCCTGGCTTGCAACATAGTTACAAAATCATGCCTTAAAGGTTTCAAGGCAAATACTTATCCAATACCGGTTAGCAAAGTGGTCTATACCAACCGAGGTATGTATTACAAAGTTCGGATGGAGCTTCCCGATTTAACAAGTATCATGGATTTGTTTAAGAGAGACACGGACTTCCAGTAGAAAATTCGATTTTCAACCTCACTTTATTGTGTTGGGGCTACTAAGTAGCCCCAACTTTATAGACGACTAGCAGGCCGTCCCAGCTTCGCACGGGTGGACATTTTTTTAAACATTTCTTGTAGATATTAATATGTTCTTTAATATTGTAGAACATTGTTTTTTGTTCTATCAGCAATAGTTTTTTGCAGCACATGCAATGAAAGATACTTTGTAGGCATTTTTTTATTGGGTAACATTATTGTAGTTTTAGTAGAGTTCCTTATTTTTTTCATGAAATTAAAATAGCCTATATTTAGTGATAACGTAGCATTCAAATGGTGAAATAAATCGGTCCAGTACTTTTTGAGCCAATTTGTTACAAACATACATACAATTTTTTTCTCTTTATAGTATTAGTATAGATAAAAACTTAACTGTAAGTTATACAAGTAATAAAGATTGTGAAAAAGCCTAAATAAAACACAGTTTACCAATTCTTAAACGATGGCAATGTGAGTGTCCATCACTCAGCATCACATTAATCTAATCATTTTAAATAATCATTAATTTTTAATAATCATCTTACAAAAAGACTGAAACAGTCGTGATTATTACTGGTTAAGATTAAATTGTATTAACAAACCAAATTACTTACAATGTGGCATAGCTTTAAGTAGAAGTTAGGAAAGTGTAGACAAGAATAAAAAAGTAATTTTCTTAATGTCGTAAGCATGAAGATTGTATGTAAATAGTCATCAGTAACTTTGCTATGTGGAGCAGTGTTGGCCTAGTGAAACAGATGAAACAGATTCAGAAATCTGAGGCCACACCACTCTAGCGCCACTGATTTATTGATTTTTAACTTTGGTATGTAAAATTAGTGAATATATACTCTACTTCTAGTGTAAAAAGAGAGTGTACAAAACGGGTATTCATCAAAGTTTATGCCAAGGTCATCAAGATTATATTATTTCCTAACAATATAGGTTTCACTAATGTTTTCAACAAATACGTTCAACTATTGTTTTATAAATTTCTAAATTATTTTTTATTGTTTATTACACAGTAATGACACACTTCTGTCTGTGTTGCACTTTGTGATAGCATTGCAACTATAACGACACAGCTTGCTTGTCACAGAACAGATTAAGCAAAACTGTTTATTATATAGTTAAAAAGTTTTTTTTTTCACAGTGGGGTTCGAAGTAAACAAAAAGTTATGATTTGAGAAATTTTTATATCGTATAAGATTATCTTCAATACACTCAATAAACAACTATAAATAGTAAGTCTCATCAGTACCAATCTACTGGATTTTATGAAAAAGATACAGGTGTAGATTTTTTCGAATTTCAATA